CAGGGTGAAGCCGGGGCTGGGCAGCACCCCTGTGGCCCCGGGACACCGAGCACGGCCCCGGGCGGCGGAGGAAAGGCGCGACCTGAGTGCCCTTCAGCTTCCCAAATCCGTGGGACGCTTCTGATTGCCGGGACGCTTCTGACTGCCCAGGCAGGCGCGGGGGGGCAGGCGTTAAAACGCAGCACCTCAAATGCGACTTTTCTTCTTTAAGGGATCAAAGGAAGCAGCCGGAGTGTGGTACCCGGGTGTGTGTCTAAAATGGGGGGGTCTTTTTGAGAATAAACTGCACACTCTTGAAAAATAGACGTCTCTGTTAAATGAAGCTCAGATTTCTTAAGCAGAGTTTAGCGGGGGAAAAGGCAGGAAAGCTGCTAGCACTTGTGTCCTGAGCTATAGTGCTGGCTGTGCGCGTATCTAGTCCCACTGCCCTGCAATATTACATTATTTCTTCCTTCTTCAGTAGTGAAGTCAAGTGAAAAATAAATCCAGATTGTTAAAAGCACTACTGACTACCTGCTGATTGCATCCTAAATGCATGGGATGTTTAGAAAGCTCACTAAAGCCTCTCTTAAGGGGCCACCTCAATCTTAAGAGATTCTTGCCTGTGCAAAGATTTTAGGATTGGGCTACATTGGGTGAACAAAAAGAAACTTTAGCAGGAAGGACTGACACTTTGTAAAAGAAAAAACTGTAGTCAAGAAATGGCCAATGATAATGATGGTGTCCACTACTTTAAAAGTGTACCAGCGGAGGAGTCAAAGATGTTAGAAAATATTTATGCCACAGGGCTAGAAAGTGTGAGAAATTAAATTACTTCACTTTCTGGGAGTCACATTTGGGCTTTACAAGTTCATAATCTCAGGATAGCCAGCAATAGGGGTGCACTGGCAGCACTCTCTGAGTTACTTGGAAACAACCCTGTTTATCTGAGCCTATATACACATTACTAAAAGATCAGAAGACTTTCATTCTGCTCAGTAATATTGTTCAACATAATTACATAGCTGGCATGTTCTCTAAAAGGAGGGGGGAAATAAAAAGTGTTTAAAGTATTTTGGATAATTTTACAAGGAGCCTGATTTTGCTAGAAACCAATGCAATTTAGGTGCTTATAAAAAGCCACTTTTAAAGATTTTATCCAAAGCAGTCAGGACGAGATACTGAGATTTTTTAGGACCTGCTCAGAACCTCTGAAAATAAAGCCTGCAAGGCAGTAAATGTTCTGTTCTTGAATGTGACCTCTATACGGTACAGTCATCCATTGCGTAATGAATTTTTGGCTATAGGATAGTACAATTCTCAACAACTTAGTTTAATTCCCAGTGAGTTCATTGGCCATATGTGTTCGTAAGGCATGTAAACAAACAGTGCTACAGCCTAGAAACGCAGCAGGACATAAAAGGACCTGGAATGACTTGCAGTCACTCTGCTTCCATGAAACCGCTTGCAGACACAGTCGTGCTTTGAAAACACCCGTAGTAAAGTCTTGCTTCTGTTCCCACTGTGCCCAGCGAGGTGATTTTAACTTCAGCAAGAGCCCCACTTGACCACCATCTGAACTACTCACAAGCTCTTTGCAGAGGGAGGCAGTTGACTCCAGAGCTGCAGAAGATCAACCCCCTTAAAACTCAGAGGGGTAAAAACTAAGAAAACTAAAATGGTGTTCTTTTTAAATTTCTTTTAGGCCTTCCTGCAAAGTTTTCTTTGCCAAGGACCCTCTGAAGATAGTGCGTGCTCAGGGCCAATATATGTTTGATGAGAAAGGAGAAAAATACTTAGACTGTATCAACAACGTTGCACATGGTAAGCAGTTTAACTTGTAGGACCGCTGCTATTTCTTAATTTCTACTAGGGATCAGAACACAGTCCTTCCAAGTGATGATGTTTACAGTGCTTCTCTGAATGTCCTGGTGTGGTTCAATCACCAACTGCTTGCTAGTAATTAATTATTTTCTTTAGTTGGCCACAGTCATCCATACGTTGCAAAGGCTGCAATAAAACAGATGGAGCTGCTCAATACGAATTCCAGGTTCCTGCATGACAACCTTGTTCAGTACGCGCAGCGTCTCACAGCCACCCTGCCTGAGAAACTCTCTGTTTGCTATTTTGTGAACTCTGGGTATGTCTGACTATTCATTTATTTTTTTTCCCATTGTGACTATTTTGCTCCTGTTTGAGAGGGACATGCAAAACAGCTTGGTCCAAATCTTAAATTTATTACAGCAGGCTATGTGCAGATCGGTGAATGCTATGTGTAAATTGACATATGACCTTAGAAACAAATACTTTAGGCAGGCCATTTAGTCTATGATCACTTATGCTGCCAGACCAGACAACCTGCAGGCACTTGTGAGCGGAGGGGTGCTACAGGTCAGGCTGGAAATTTGGGTGTTTGTGCTGGGAGCCGATTTACTTTCTCTGCTGCCTGACGGTGCAGGCACTGGGGAAGACAGAGCTGTCACAGAGAGGGGTAGATGGGGCTGTTGCAGTGCTGCTTTTTGAGGGTTTGCGGCCGTGTTGAGCTCTCAGCTGCAAAGCGGTCTCATTTGTACCAAGAGGACATAAATGTCTACAAGCAAACTGGGGGAGGGATAGAAAGCATCTCTTTCTTTGCTGTTTATACAAAGAGCTGTTTTTTCCTTTGCCCTCTTACATGGCATTTACAGTCTCAGCCTTAGCATTGTAATCTGGGTAGTAACAGAGCCTGCCGTGTTGATTTATCATATCCAGTATCCCATACCTGCTCTGCTGTGTTAGAATGCCATTTTAATTGGAAGTGCTTCCTCACTGTTTTGCGTCTCTGTCTGTTATTGTGCAGGTCTGAAGCAAATGATCTTGCTTTACGGCTGTCTCGGCAGTACCGTGGACACCAAGATGTGATCACCCTTGAAAAGTAAGTACATAAAGCAGCATATGTGAATGCAGCCAGCGGCTCCTACCATTACTTCAGAAGCAGCTTTGTAGCAACCCCCTGCTGTTTGTACTCCACTGCCTGCTGAAAGAAAAGGTTTGTTGCTTTCATACTAGAGCAGGTCAGGAAATCCCTCTTTTACCTTTGGATAAACACAAGTTTTGAAGATCTCTGAAAAATAAGCTTGTCAGTCGCCCCAGAAGGTCAATCACCTGTTGCAGGGCATTTCACACAGAGACCCCCAAAGCAATTCAGGCCAGAGACTTGGATGTTGGTCTGAAACATCAATGAGTGGTCTGGCCACTGGGCTGCTCTGCAAAAGGGCTTTCTGTTTGTCATGCTCTGCTGGACACATTTCTTTTTGTGCAAATAAATACTCAGTGGTCAAGAAGAAAGATCCTGTAGCTCTGCTGCACTGATGTGCAGCTCTCCTCCAGTGAACACAAATACTCACACAAAACCAAGCAGCTCCAAAATCGAGAGGCACTGAGAGTGCTGTCAGCTGTGAGGAAGATGGGCAACCATGTCTCTGGTTTTTCCTATCCTAGATGCAGCTGTAGGGTTGGTTACTCTGCTGTAGGCCTGGATCTTCTCGGGTTGTGATTAGAAAGTCCAGTCAGAGCAACTGCAAGAGCACGTGTCTTGAACAGCACAGAGCTTGTTTGACTCAGTCATGCTCAGATCTGTTAGTCCTCCTTGACGCATGTGGCCAAGATTTGGAGCCACTGAGAGCAGCTTCCATCAGGAGAGGCTGAGGATGGAGCTGGCTCTGTCACTGTTTCACTGCAACTCTCTTGTCTTCCTGACAGCACAGGGTATGTCTTTGCCCTGGTCCCGAGGCTCCATGGGCTTTTGCCATAGCTGCCATCCCAGACAGAGTGGACTTTCTGTCCTTTCTTTGTGTCCATTGGCAGATTTGTTAACTGGCTAGCAGAAAGGTTTAAAGAAGAGAAAGGAGTGCAAAAACTTCCTCTCTACCCATTATGTGTGCTACCATAAGATTGTGACATGTCTTTGATTCGGTTTGAGGCTCCCTTCACTTCAAGTTTATGGCTTAATGAAAATGTTTATTCCCTGGATGAAGCTACTACATGCTTTAGGTTCAAAGGGCTCTGTTTTCTCATTTCTAAATCAAATTGGCCTCAGTAGTAACCAGCTTTAGCACACTCCAGAATATAGAGCTTTTCTATTCAAGCAATATTCATCCTTTTCCTGGAAGTGGCTTCTGCCATACAGTCTAGCCCATAGAGCCTTCAGGGCAGGTAGTGATGTGCTGCTGCTGTGTAAGATCCCCACCTGCTGCTGCAGTGCACCATCCTGAGAGTCTTTGCAATGGTGTTGGGGTCCAGCATGCAAAGCCTGGGTGGGTCAGGGTGGGGTTGGAAATGGGGGTGCTGGACCCACCCTTCAAGTGCTAAGTAAGGTTACTCTGGGCAGCCACTTTAGAGGCGGTGCAGTTCAAGGGACATCATCTTGGTCTGTCCCCATGCTGGCACTTGATTTTATGCCAGGAAAAACCCTCCTGATTCCAGTCTTGCTAGTGAATTAAAGTCAACAGCAATTTCATATTGCCTTTGAGAGAAAGACCGAATAAATAAAATCAAGATCCCTTCACAAGCAGTGCTACTGTGTTGCAGATACAGTCACATGTTCTAGATTATTTATGGGCACAGTTGTAAATTTAGCTCTTCTATACATTTGGTGAAAAAAATGACTTCGATATTTAACACTTATGCAGTGCTTACCATGGCCATCTTACATCTCTGATTGACATCAGTCCCTATAAATTTAATCAGCTGGGAAAGGACAGCAAGAAGGAGTTCGTGCATGTGGTAAGTGGGTTGGTTTTTTGCTTTTTGACTTTTTTTTTGCCTGTTATGCAGCATATTGAATTACCCACTTCTGGTGTAAATATACTTTCTTTCTGGAGTCCAAACACTTGGCTGTTTGTCAGTTGATTGTCAGCAAAATTGTTGGCATTTGGACTTCTAAGAGGATATTCAGCTGTGAGGCTGATTTCCTTCACAGTGGTGCAAGTTTCCTGAGCACTATATGGTTACACAGTTTGAAGAAATTAGCCGGTATCTGTTGTGCTGATTTGGCTAAAGAAATGCAGGACTTTTGAGTCTCCTTCCAAAAAACAGAAAGGCAGACTCCACAAGTTCACACAGGACTGGGTACAGAGCTCATGGGTGTCCCACTGAGTGGGACACTTTGATTTTTCATCCTGAACTTGTATATCTTACAAAGACAAAAACCATTCTCAGCCCAGAGATGTACACCAAGCAGGTCTTCTTACCTAGACCTCTTTGTGTTAACCATGTTGACGAAGTAGTATCCATCTTTATACTGCTTCCTTTCCGGAATTTACCAAACCTTTCCCAGCACCCTTTGTAGAGGCTTGAAGGTCAGACAGGTTGGTGCTGGGACTGGGAGACTGGAAGAGAAGTGACAGACTGGAAAACCCCATACTCCAGTTGCAAAAATGGATCTTTCTGCCAGATCTGAAATAAGATGATGGATGAGGACTCAGTATCATGACCTGGGGGAGAGGAGGGGCGGTCTTGAAAGGTGCATGAGGTAGATGATGACTCTTTCAACAGTTGTGTCCAGTAATGTTAAACACATCACAGGGCTGGATTGAGTTTAAGTTCCTGTAAGTATTTTTGCAATTCCATGCAGAAATTCAGGCTGTGTTAACTCGTATTATCTATCTGTGTGGAAAGGCAAAACCACAGAGCAATAGAAAAGAAAGTAAATGTTTCATAGAAGGATGACTTTAAAAAGAAAAATTAAAATATTTATCTTTTCAGGCTCCTTCTCCAGATATCTACAGAGGGAAATATAGAGAGGACCACCCAGATCCAGCAAGTGCTTATGCTGAAGAGGTGAAGAAGATTATTGAAGAAACACAGAAGAATGGACGCAAGGTGTGTGCTTTGTGCTCTGGAAATGCTGAGGTTTCATCTATTCAGTGTGGCGTGGGGGCAGGAAACAGGAAACTAAGGACATGGTCCTCTACTCAGGTTCCCTTGCTTCCCCTTGCCCTTCATTTTCCTGTGGTGGGCTTTGTGTTCAAAATGGGCCATTTTTCTATCTGATGCTCTTATCAATAGTTTTTCTAGACATCAATGAGAGGATCAATAATGCAGTTGTATAATTTCCTATTTTATGCATTGAATCAGTAGATTGTAGATATATTAGGGCAAGCTTTGAGGTCACCTGAGAAGCTGCATCACGAATTCTAGCAAGGATATATGTCTCCAGGACACGGAGATGATATATTAGATAAAATCTTGATACTGCATTCTGAGTCTAGTAGCTTAAAGGTAACTTTGGAGTAATTTAGAAACATGAACCTTTTGATCATACACAGTGTGAGCTTGATAAAAACAGATAATTTCTGAACAGGTTTACCTAAAATATGTGTCAGTGTTTTGTATGATGGCATTAGCATTTTTAGACATACAGGGCTTGATCCAAAGCCCACTGAAGTCGCACAAGACTTCAGTGGAGATTGGACCAACATGTTCCCTTCTAGTCCAATGGACTTACATCACTCTTCTTTTAATTTCTTCACCAACTTTTTTTATTCTCTACTAACGGATAGTTTTGTTTTTTTCTTCCCTTGTTTCCTTTCTTCTGCATATTTCTTAGGTTTTGGTGACATAGACCTGTGGCAGGACAAGTTGTGCTAAAGGCTAAGCCTCACATGCTATGGGAAGCTTCGTACTCTTTGGCCGTAGCATGCCACTTCAAATGTAGTGTACGGTTCTTTACACGTTACTGCTCGGCCTTGTTTCCAGGAAGACTGCACCAGCCCAGAGAGACCTTTTGATGCTCAGGGAGGGGTTCACAAGTGGTGTGGGGATGCGATCCCTTAAATAGCAGACTTATGCTGAGACTTTGGGGTAATATTGTATCTCTGCTGCATAGACCTCTGCTGTTGACAAGAAACAAATTTTGGTGTTCCAGTGTATCTGATCCGCTGCTCTTACCCTTCCTGACTTGAAATAACTTTCTTTTTCATTCCTAGCAACTGGAATTATTTCACCTGTAGAATTTTTCTCTTCTTTTTGTCAAGTGCCTCATGCTGACTTTTTACTTGTGTAGTTATTTGCATTGGGCAGGGGTGCCCAAAGCGTAGCCTCAGGTCATCTTGCAGTTCAGCTTCTACCCACCTCTGTCTGGTGTTCAAGACTGAACAAAAAAACTGATCACCAGCTACCATCTGTGACTGGGCAGCCTTGACATGAAGCAAGGAAAATGGCAAACACAATTGTGTGTCTCTTTTAAAGATAAATTCGTAAATAAATTTACAGAGGTCCCAGGAGCCTCATCCAACATCCCCTGGCACCAGTGTCTTCCACTTCAACAACTGTAGGACTGGAGCTTAACGAAGGAACAGAGGTCCTTGTATTCCCATCAGGTTGCAAAGGTGGCCCTGGCTACTGCAAATTTGGGCACCCCAGATTACAAAATGAATAAAATTCTGTAGCCATAGCTGTTCTCAAGAGCCCTCAGCTGTCCAACCTGTTGCGTGATTAAATTAAGGCACATATTTAAATATTTCATTCTAGACTGTTAGATGTTTGTGCAAAGGCCAAGTAGATGAACACAGCTCTTACCCGAATTTGTTTTTTGTAGATTGCTGCCTTCATAGCCGAATCCATGCAGAGCTGTGGAGGCCAAGTAATTCCACCTGTGGGCTATTTCCAGAAAGTGGCAGAGTATGTACATCACTTCAAAAAGGAGTAGCTGGAAAATTAACCAAAGAAACAGTTTTTTTTTCACTCTAGGCTTATCTAATCAGTTCAGCTATCACCCTCTTGTTCTTGGGTATCTAGGGTTCTTTTCTACTTTTTAAAGGGTATGATTCCAAGGTGACAAACTTGTTTCTAGCTGGATAGTCGTTCCTTTATCTTTAATCCTGAGGCCATAAGCTTGATGGTAGATAAAGATGAACCATCATAGATAGAACCCTGCAGTACCATTACAGTAGACCTATACTGCATTAAAATATCAGTTGTTTTTTTTCTTAACATTTAGCAAACTAAACGTTTTATCAATTGGAATAGATATAGCTGTGTTTCAGCAGCCACATTCTTTCTTTTTTTACCTTACCTGGTCTCATACTGCAGAATTTCTGCAATACAAATTCCTTCATCCTAAACAGCCTACACGAGATGTGTATTGTAGCATCAGTCATTCAAGCTATTTTATTTGTTTTCAGGTACGTGCATGCAGCAGGTGGTGTGTTTATAGCCGATGAGGTCCAGGTTGGCTTTGGCAGAGTTGGGAAGCATTTTTGGGCGTTCCAGCTGCAAGGTGAAGACTTTGTGCCTGACATTGTCACCATGGGAAAGCCCATTGGCAATGGCCACCCTATGTCTTGTGTGGTCACAACAAGGGAAATTGCTGAAAGTTTTGGTGCCTCTGGACTGGAGTATTTCAATACAGTAAGTTCATAGGTGAAGGTTTGCCTTTTTTTCTTCTGGTCTGCATTTAGCAGTTACAAGCTGTTCAGGTGATTCAGCTTATGTCTGCATCCATCACTGCCTCACATTACTAAGAGCTCAAATCAAATATATAAAAGCAAGTGGAGAGGCTTTGAAATATGCTCTGTACCAAGTGGAATATCTCCATATGGACCAGCACTGGCTCTCTGGCAAGTAATACATCTAAGCTCATATCCATATGCATAAATTCTTCCTTCTCTCTCTCTCTCCTCTTCCTCTGAAATGTAAAATGTAAAATTTCATTCTCTAGGATAGGCTCTGTGCCAGTGAGGCTCATGCCCCAACAGACCTTGCTCAGCAGTTGTCACCTAACAAAACGGGTGACCCTATACCAGGAAATATTTGAACTATGTGCATGCCACAGAGGAGCAGCTTTCTTCTTGTTTAATGAGTCCTTTTTGTGCTTCTGTGACTGAGCCTTCTTCCCAGTTGCCATGAATCCTCCTGCTTTCAATGGAGTTTGTACTCTCTGGTTCAAGAAATATGGGATCTATCACCTGCTGCTCTTGACAGGAGCATTTTGCCTGCACACACCAATAAGCAAACCATGAGAGCAGCTTGAACGTTTGAGCCATGAGATCTTCAAACCCCAAACCCATGAAACCCAAAGCAGAAGAAGAGGGAGCCTCTCTTACACTGCCCAAAGTGTGGGGAATGGTGCCCCGCAGCCTACACAGCACAGAATCCCCACCTCTTCCAGCTTTCCTCAAGACATGCCAAGCAGGAGAGGGCAAGTGAAAACTGCATGGATAGACACAGATGAATGTTTCTGATGGGCTTTGTTTTCCTATTTGTCTTTACTGTCAGTTTGGAGGAAATCCAGTGTCTTGTGCTATTGGTCTGGCTGTGCTGGATGTAATAGAGAAAGAAGATCTCCAAGGAAATGCTACATATGTAGGAAATTATCTCCTGGAGTTGCTGGCCGAGCAAAAGGAGAAACATCCCTTAGTGGGAGATATCAGGTGGGTGCCTTACAGCAATGTTTCAGAGAAGAAAAATAACTGCTAGAAAAATCAAGTTTGGGGGGGGGACTGGAACACAGAAACATCATGTCATGATTATGCTACACCTCTTTTTTCAAATGGACTCGCCAAAACTGATGCTGCAAGGCAACATATTTTTCAAAAAAATTTCCACCCCTTTACCTAGTTAGGTATAAGCACAACCAGTAGAAAAGCTCTGGGAAGAAAGTAGGAGAAGGAGGCATCCGTGTGCCATAGCCCAGTTGTCAGCACAGTGTAGGAATGGTAGAGACCTTGCTCAAATCTCTGGTCCGTTTAATTTAAGATGTCAGTGTGGGTTTTCCTCTTCTCATGTTACTCCATGGTAACTGCCTTCAGGTTTTTGTGAATGGTTTGGGTTGTGAGTTTGTTTTGAGAAGTTTTTTGGGGATTTTTTTGGTGGTTTGTCTTCCACAGCTCCCTAGCTTGAGGTTTGCAGGATAAGAGAGGATATGATGTAATACTATATTTATCAAATTATTTAGGTTATGATTCAATAAATTTAGAAGTTATCAATTTTTTAACTGGCCATGAAGCCTTAATGAGCCAGCTGAATTTATTTATCCAGAAATAACTGTTCTCCCACTTGACTGGCTGAAGTAGCCAGTGCCAAAAGACAGCGGAAGGGAAAGTCCCTTCTCTTTCCTGCTCCTTCCCTGCTTGCACCCCAGGGAAGGGAACTGCAGTTTTCAGGAGCACTTTTTGCATTTGCAGCGGAAATCTTGGGTTACTGACACTGGATTTAATTTGTCTGTGTTTTCTTCTCTACTGCAGGGGTGTTGGCTTGTTTATCGGAGTGGATCTGGTGAAAGATCAACAAACGCGAGCACCAGCCACGGCTGAAGCCCTTCACCTTATTTACAAGTAAATGTTTTTAAAGACTATGTGCAGCGATCAAACTCTCCTAATATTCCCCAGCAGTTAATAATTAATTGCAGTTTAAATTTGTATAGTTTTTGATAACATAGTACTAGAAAAGTCAAAGTTTCAAAATCTAACTCAGCCTGAAGGGTCTGACAGGACACAATGTACTTTTATACTTGTGTTCACCACAGATGTTTTCTCTTTCCACAGGCTGAAAGAACATAAAATCCTTCTTAGTGCAGATGGACCCCACAGAAACATACTGAAATTTAAGCCGCCAATGTGTTTCACTATGGAAGATGCAAAACATGTAGTGGAAACAATTGATGCACTTCTTACAGGTATGTGTGCTTTAGTGCTCAAAGGCATACTCTTCTTTCTTAGTTTCCAGATGACCTGTTAGCATTACCAACCACAGGACCATAATCTAGGCCATTACAGGCAAGGGGAAGTAATCAATTAAATTTCTTGTCCAAACTGCTGTTCTTAATGCCAGTTATTATAAAAATAAAAGGTCCATATATACTTCATCCCCACTTTTTAGGCAGAATCATGTTCTCTTGCTGACTCAGTGTTAATACTAATTTCTGGTCACACATGTAATATGTAAAGGAGCAAATAAATTAATTCACTACAGCTCCAAAAACCAGTGCTGAAACATGGGTGAAACTTTCCATCATATTCTGTACCTTTTTGTTGTTGTTGTTTTAACTGGCTTAATGGAACATGATCATCTCACTCAAATTTAGCCTGAAGGTTTTCAAGCTCTATTTATCTTTTACCTGAGGAGCTAATGTCACAAATACTGACTTATTAGCATAAGGACTACGCCCTTTCTGCACTGAATGCTCCCACCCCTTGACATTACAGCAACTGGAGTTAGACTAGCATGAACCTGCTGGACAAAGGCAGAATTCAGCTCTGAAAGGTCTGACCTGACCTGCCTGTCCTACAGTCAAGCTGCTAAATTGGTTCTTTTCTCTGAACACCTCCAAGATTCACAGTCCTGATACATTAATCGCATCACCTCAGAAAAATGTGTTAGGAAGTATTCTTGAGTTATTCTTCTGTGTGATAAATGCCCAGAGGAATAGCTGATTAGGTATTTCTTTTTATTTCAGCCAGCTGTTAAACTGACTATATGCTTACTTATCCCTGGTTCTTTTTAATTTAATCGTTTTATTACTTTTTTTATTTTTAGAAATGGAAGTGGCAATTGGAATGAAGACACAAAATGATGCATCTACAAATGCACAGTGTAAAATAGAAGTACGTTTTGAATTAGTTTGGAACACTTACTTGGATAGGTGTTTGGCAACGCGAGTATCAGTGACTTTAGTAGAGCATACCTTCATTTTTGGTGGTGTGAGTGGTTCTGTGCCTTGAAACTGAGCTCAGAGTGTAACCCGCCACTAGAAACCTGAGAGGATTGTGTTACTGGGGCAAATCTAAAAAAGGGCTGAGTAATACAGACCTACCACAGGAAACGTGTTATAGACAGACCCCTTGCCCTGCCTGCCTTATATGCAAACAAAACCAACCAGACTTTGGGCTTCACAAAATTGCGAGCTCAGCAGTCAGCAATTTTACTAATTCTAGGTATTGCCTGCTATCAATGGCTATTTGGCTTTTCAAGAAGACTTCAGCCTGGAAGGTGTCCAAGTTTTTGGGGCGTTCCAAGGATTTTATTTCCGCCATAGCTCTTTGAGTATGAATGGCTGACATGCATCTAAATTGGGACTTCTTAGGTTGCAGCACTGCCTTTGGACAAATCGTACATAATTTCTCACACTCTTAAAAGCACATGTTGCCCACTGTGTTATAGGAAAGCTTGCTGAGCTGTCCCTTGGTGAGTTTTCCAGTGATGCTGCAATTGGCAGGAAGGATGTCTAGGGATGCTATCTAGGGATGTAGCTATCTAGGGATGTAGTAATTCAGGCACAGACCCACTATGGATTACTGGCTATCTATATTATACTAGATTTGGGGTGCAAGCCTCCTTTTACAGACATTTGTACACATTTGTTTCAATTTCTTCCAAAGCTAAGAAGTTGTGCCACTGTAAGAGGAGAGTAAGGCAGAGCTCCCTAGTGGGAACCAAGTCCAGTGGTTGCCTGTCAGAAGACACGCACATGCCCTCACTGACATTTCATTTCTGTTTCAGATGACTGAAGGCAGTTCTCAACCAGAAGGTGCAAGTGAGAGCATCAACCATATGAATGGAGCTGTCTGCAGACAAGAAAATGGACTTTATTCTAAAAAATGCTCAGTGCCAAGTCAAAGAATAAGAACATGAAGAGGTTTCCTCATTCAGTTCTAATTTGTGTCCAGCTTGCTTTTGAGATGAAGAGTGCAATAGTTGGAGTCTTAGGACCTGTTTGAAGCTTAGTCCTAACTTCTATAAACTGGTTGAATTCCTATTAGCTTCAGTAGGAATTTATAATACATTTTCAGATACATAAGAACTGCACCATGTGGCCTGAAATCTAGATGTGACAGAATGGACAAGTGACACAGATACCTTGGTGCTGATGGCAGGCTTGATGTAGGTACACAAACTCAGTGAAATCTGTGGATTTACCCATATTACACAGAATCTGAATTGCTTAACCACCATACAAGCAAATGCCAATCCTATTAAGTTTAAAATTATATGCTTACCATGCTATTTTTACAATATTTTAAATTTCAATATGTAATATTGAGATGTTAATTGCTGCCCATGTTTTAATGGCTGAATTCACAAAATAATGCTTGAGAGAGAAATCATTATTATCTTCCAGTGTAATTTAGGTCCCATGGACCATATTCCCAGCCAATGTAAATTGGTGTATCTTTGTTAATGTCAATGACGCGCTCTCTACCAAGAGTCTTACCACTGTGTGTGTAGAGACACAATGTTTACGCAGGGCATTCTCACTATAAGTTCAAAGAAAATGAAGACTCTGGATCCTAATTTTCTATGCATAAAGCAACTTTTATAGATAAGTATTTATATAGAGTAAGATTTTATTTTTTTTTCCTAAAGTTTATATATTGAACCCTCTTAGTCCACAAAATATGCAAGTAAAGTAAATGGGATTTCAGTCACACTGATTGAATTTAACCTGAGAGTTAAATTCTGTTTAACTGAGAGACTCTCAAAATGAGGTCCCTAGGGACAGCCCTGCTTGCATTCCCATGCATTTTAGTTGTTTTGACAGTTGTGGGAACTACCGCCTGATCCTGTCGTAGTGGTGCTGTTCCTTTTTGTCAGTGGTGATGAAGAGTCACATACCAGTTGCATGGGATACTGACAAACAAATGGCTGTGCTAACATTTGATATATTACTAAAATGGGAGGACCACTGCATAAAACATGCATGCAACCACTTTGCAGCCACTGCCTATATGTACTGCAGATACTTTAGACTGACCTGCCTCCTTATCAGTGTTAAATTTTAGTGAGAGCACCCAAGCTCCATGCTATGGCAGACACTGAGGACTTTAAAAATGGTTTTTACTTCAGAAAAAAAGACAAAATGTATTTCCTCTTCAGTTTTAATAACCTAAGTTCTGCTGATTTGTAATTGCTTTTCTGACCTCACTGATATGACTGGTAGTTTTGTATTTTGCACAATTGGCTACATTAGTCCTGATGTTTCTGATGTAATGTCTTCCAACATCCCCAAGCTGGCTTATTTTCTTTTTCATGATACTTGAATAATTCTTCCATAAAAATAAATTTCTTCTTTCTAATTATGATGTCCTCAGCAGAGAGGATTTTTTTGTTTTAATTTTGTTCTTCAATAATACCTATTTGATGAGGGAATTTGAGTGTTGGACAGGGGTCCAGCAGAACTGGACAGGCTGTGTTACCCCAAGGTCCTACATAGTCCTCTGCTGTCAGCAGCTCTTGCCTTCTTACCTCAGCTGCCACAATTCATCTCCTTGCTTGGACCCCTGAGGACCCTGCACTAGGAAAGCACACCACAGGTCTTCTCCAACATGAAACTACACGAGGATCTAAGTCAACCTATTCTGGAGGGGCAGAAGAGGGAGTTTCTTGAGACTGGATAAACACTGCAGAGAGTACTGACAGACCGATGGCATGTTTCCCTAGCACTTTAGTCTGCTCAAAACTGGGGCTGCCTCAGTGCTTCCCATAGATGCTTTAGCATGCTCCCAGACACACACACACATCATTAGCACTGGCAGCTGTGTGATGGACTTCAAAACTAGCCTACCCTCTGAAGCCCACAGCTGAGGAAACCAACAAGGGGTTTAGTGATAACTGCAGTCTCCCTTCACTGTAGAAAAAAATCTCAAAGGCTTGCCCATTTTCTTCCTTTCATTTTGGAGGATGCTTGTTTCTCCTAAGTGCTCTGATGCTTCCTGCCAAGGTGTGTATCCAAAAGCATGGTTTAGGTCACTCCCCATATGGAGCAGGGCTACTTAGATTATACCCCATCCACCACGTGCAGAAGCAGCATGCAGTTTGAGCAAGCAAATGCTCGTGCAATTTATTGGAAGGCTTAAGCTCAAAGGCCACAAGTCTATACTATGGCTCTGACTGCTGTGGCAGGTCATTAATATTTAGTTTTCAAAAACATGTCAAAGCACTGGAAAAAAAAAATCCAATTAGGCTAAATTTGGAGGGAGGTAAAGATTACAGCTTCATAAACATAAGAGCCTTGTGCTTTACCTCAATCCTATCTGTGTCACTCCTGAAAGACATCGAACATTGTTTCAATTCATTAGGGTTTTTTGCCCAGTTTTTGCTTCATAAGTCAAGAAGCTCTCTACCTATTGGTTCTGCTCTTGATGCAATATGTGAGTTACCTAGATCAACTAAGTTTTCTGTTTTCTTTAGACAAGAGAGGCCATCACTTCTGTGATACACAGTGAAAAAGAACACTACCGTGTAAACAGAGGAACCAATCCATCACCACGAGTTAAGCTGGGCCTACCAATGTTACTAATATTATATCATTGTTGATATTCCCATAGTATCTCAGAGTCCACTTGCAAGATTAGCACAATCCCTACTGTGAGGAGCTTCCTTACTAGAAGAGACTGACTAAAGGATGGGAGAGTGGAAGCAGAAATAGTTAAGGCTAAACACAGAGATAGCAGTTCTAGTCAGCTGAACTGATCAAATATATTCCCTCCACTGAACAGGCAAGGCTTTTTTTCCCCTTTCCAACTCACT